TCTGGAAAGGCGGGGTATAAATAAAACTTTTATTATTTATTATTATTCATCTGGTCCCTCTAAAACCTTTCTCCCCCGCTTAACATGGACAGACTGAAGAAGAACCAGATACTTTTTTGTTCTAATATGTCTTCAAATGAGAAAGGTGTGGGAATAAAATGTTGGGGCTGGTGCTAGGAAGTGTCAGAAAATAGTGTATCTTGGGTGTATCTGCACTGTAGAAATAATGTACTTTGACACCAGTTTAAGTGCTGGACCTCCATCCTATGGAATTGGTGGTTTTACAAAGTCTTTAGCCTTCTCTGCCAGAGTGCTGCTGCCACACAAAATCCCTGGACTTAAAGTCGTGTCAAACTGCATTATCTCTACAGTGTAGAGGCACCAGTCGATTAAAAAAACAAATGCAAACTTCATCAACAAATACCGCGACCTCCAGCAACACGCTTATGGTGACTCTAAGGTGAACCTATCATGGGTTTTCTTGGCAAGATTTGTTCAGAGGAGGTCTGGAGGAGCCTGCAGTTATAACCTCCATTATAACATTCTCCCCATCCTTCTCTCTTCTCCTCCCAATGCTCCATTTGTTCACAGGGGGAAACGATGACCGAGCACGAAGACTTTGCCGGCTTTGCAGGACACTGGAATGCCTCCGACACCTCCCAGTTCAGCCCAGCTAGCATCATCGTCCCGGTGGTCTTCTCCCTCATCTTTCTGCTGGGCACCATTGGCAACAGCCTGGTCTTGGCTGTGCTGTTGAGGAACGGCCAGATGGGTCACAACAGCACCAACCTCTTCATCCTCAATCTCAGCCTGGCTGACTTCTTCTTCATCATCTTCTGTGTCCCCTTCCAGGCCACCATTTACTCCTTGGAAGGCTGGGTTTTTGGTTCCTTCATGTGCAAGACGGTCCACTTCTTCATCTACCTCACCATGTACGCCAGCAGCTTCACCTTGGCGGCCGTCTCAGTAGACAGGTAATCTTGGTGGCCTCTGCCCCTCCAAAAATGGAAGTCTCTACCCCATGAATGGGTTGGTGCAGTTGTGTGTGTGTTGAGGGCTAGTCTTTGTTGTTGTGTGCTTTCAAGTCGTTGCTGACTTATGACGACTCTAGGGTGAATCTATCATGGGGTTTTCTTGCCAAGATTTGTTCAGAGGCAGTTTGCCATCACCTTCCCCACTAGTTATTTCTCATTGCTTATTGCATTTTCGTTGATTATTTATTGGATGACTATGGTTAATCAGATGGCCCTCCATCTCTGTGTGTGTGTGTACGTTGCATGCCTTCAAGTCATTTCCAACTTATGGCAACCCTAAGGCAACCCTATCTTGGGGTTTTCTTGGCTAGATTTGTTCAGAGGAGGCTCTCAATGTGACTTTCTCAAGGCCACCTAGTGGGTTTCATGGCTGAACAGGGAATGAACCCTGGTCTCCAGAGTTGTAGTCCAATCCTCAAACCATTACACTACGCTGGCTCATTGCTTGTACCATATGTTAAATTTAATATGGGAAACAAAAATTGGACTGTTTGGCACGGCACATTTCCCTTGGCTTTGCAATGCCTTTGCAGGAATTCCCTTGGGCTCCAGCTAACGCATTTTGGCTCTCTCCCTGCTGGGTCCTTTTCCCACTCTTCCATCTGCCCAATGACAGCTCTCTTCTCCCAAAGTGACACAAAAATGGGCAATCTGTTTTCTTCACTAGCTATCATATCAACTTACCAACCTGACAAAGCTGTCAACATTCAATATTATCCCTTGGAGGACAGAGTCTATCAGGCAGATGGTCTTTATCAGCTCCTCATCATCTCTAGTCGCTGGGGTGCTGCACACAGCAGAATGAGCCAGACTGGGACAGAGTTCAAATCACTCCTGTGTCAATGCCAGGACTTAAGCTAGTTCACACAGCATAGTCCTGTATTCCAGGTTATCCCAAACAAACACCCTCCAGATGTATTGGACCAGGGCCTGTAAAGGTTATTGTTTTTTGGACTACAACTCCTAGAATCCCCCAGCCAACATGGCCACTGGGAGATTCTGGAAAGTATAGTTCAAAAAAATTATCCTCCCAAGCTTTAAATTAGACTACAGTGACAATGATTCTATGATTTTATGATGACAGATGTAGTGGTCGAAACTCGACTGCATAATTTGTGGTAGTTTCCCCCCCAAAAAAATTTTTTTTTGAACCTGGGGGACCATGGGCCATGAAAACTGATAGGGGGGCACATGGCATGTATGGCGGGTCCATACAGATCTTTCAGGAAAACTTGAGGGGAAATCTGGTATTGACTATCCCAGATTAAGTAGGGGTTCTGCCAGCCCCCCCCCCCCCAGTGCATCGAGTGCATTCAGGACATGTGTGAACAACAGGGATTCAACCCAGATGCATCCTGGATTATTTTCGTAGTGTGAATAGGACCGTCCTAGGATCTGTATGCATGGTAGTTCACTACAGCACCTTTAATTGCCTCTGTCAACATTGGAAAATATAGAAACTATACTATTGATAATCCTCAGCCATTCCTAATGCCATTGACTTCTTTTGGGGCAGGTATTTGGCCATCCGTTACCCCCTGCGATCCCGGGAGTTACGGACTCCCTGCAATGCGGTGGCCGCGATGGCTGTCATTTGGAGCCTCTCCGTGATATTTTCTGGGCCCTACCTGAGCTACTATGACCTGATTGAATGGGAATCCAGCTACATTTGTGTACCAGGATGGGAGGAATGGAAGCGCAAGATCATGGACACCAGCACCTTCGCCTTTGGCTACGTGATCCCAGTACTTATCGTCAGCCTCTCCTACACCCGGACCATTAAATACCTGTGGACGGCTGTAGACCCGCTCGAGAATATGTCAGAGTCCAAGAAGGCCAAGCGCAAAGTGACCAAGATGATTATCATTGTGACTGTCCTCTTCTGCCTCTGCTGGCTGCCCTACCATGTGGTCATCCTCCGCTACCTCTATGGAGACTTCCCTTTCAACCAAACCACCTATGCCTTCCGGCTGCTTTCCCACTGCATGGCTTACGCCAACTCTTGCCTCAACCCTATCGTCTATGCCTTGGTCTCCAAGCACTTCCGAAAAGGGTTCAAGAAGGTATTCAGCTGCCTCCTGCGAAAGACGGCCCGGAATAGGGTTCATGTTATCCACGCGGCTCACACCATGCCTGGCTTTGAGGCAGGCTCAACAGAAGTGTCTCAGATGAACGATGACAATGGGCAATTGAGTGGATGTGAACTGGATCCAAGATCCCTCATGGTCCCATCAGGATCCACCAGGCCTCTCCATATTTCTTAGACTGGGTGGAAGGGGAACTTGGGCAAATGGTCTGAAATACTTCTATCAAGGCTTTTTTGGAGGCTGCCTCCTTGTTATATACACAGACAGACTCTGCACATCCATGCCTTCCCCATAGATGCACAGTTATCTTCACTGAAGTTAGGGTTGCCACGTCAAGCATGTCCCAGGTCTTGAGATTTCGGGGCCAAAACCGGACACCTAGGGGTGACCCCTATGGATGTCCTTAGACTTGATACATGGAGCATAGACCACAGTTGCTCAGAGCATGTTCTTCAAATAATAAACACCAAATCTAACAAATAAAAAAATATTTATCTGGTTGGAAATGTAAGTTTTCTGGGCACTGCATTGAAAAACAGGGAAAG